CACAGAAACCTGGTCAAAGATGTGTGCTTTTACCCATCACTGAAAGGTAAGCAATTAGGGTACTATCCGTACTTTGAGGGGGAGGTATTCTACAATTGAGGCGCCACCACAGAAAAGTCCCTGTCATGTCACCACACCATTAACTTCATCCAGTGATGAGGCTACAAGAAATGCCCATCCAGCTGATCTTAATGCACAGGCAGGTTGATATAGGGGGAAGTACTATAGGGAAAAGTCCCACTGGAAGTCAAATTGGTAGCATATAGGCAACTGATATTGGATCCAAGTAACTGGGGACTAGTCCATAACCTGGGTGGGATTAGATTTGGCAAGCGCCTGCTAGGCTATAAAAGGTCTGCAGCATTTTTCAGGCCCTTGTGATGGCGATCAGACAACACATTTCAAAAGATGAAAGCAATAAAGTACATTTACGAGTTGTGTAGAAGGCACCTGGTAAGTGAGGACCACTTTAAAAAAAAATTCTCCCATATATACAGAACTCCCTTTGCACCTTTTGGACTGCATCTGTAGGTTTCCCCCTCTGTGTCAAATAACTGGGGCCAAATAAGTGTTTTTTAATTTTTATAGTACAGTGGAACCTTGGGTTGCGAACGTGATCCATTCGGGAGGCACGTTCGCAACTCGCAGCGTTCGCAACCCGCAACGCCGCGTCTGCGCATGCACGGGTCGCAATTCGGCACTTCTGCGGATGCGCAAAGCATAATTTAGTGCTTCTGCGCATGCGCCAAAACCCAGAAATAATCCGTTCTGGTACTTCCGGGTTCGGCGCGGTGCGCAACCTGAAAACACATAACCTGAAGCGTCTGTAACTCGAGGTACCACTGTACATGGAAGATGGATCTCCCTTGGAAGGTACTGGACTCTCCTTCCTTGGAGGTTTCTAAGCAGAAGTTGGATGGCCATCTGTCATGCATGCTTTAGCGAAGTTTCCTACATTGCAGGGGGTTGAACTAGAAAGATGACCCAGCTCTATGATTCTGTTTTTCTGCTTCAACAATATTTCATTATGTTCCTATCATTTTATGTAATTATGTTTTGTATAAATTATTTTTAAAAAACCCTTTTCTATTTACAAACAAAACATTTAAATAGCTACCTTTCTACCGGTATGATGGGGGGGCATGGGCATAGCCAGGATTTTTGCTGGGGGCAGGCTTTTGTTGGGGAGGGGGCAGACCCTCAGATTTGTATTGATTTTTACTTATTTGGGGGGCATCTGTCCCCCTGGCTATACCCAAGGGGGAGTCACAGGAAGGAAACAAGGGGGGCCACGATAGGAGAAAGGTTGGGGAACACTGGTCTAGGTAACCAGCATATCAGCAAGCTCTACAAGCGAGGGGCTATCTCTAAGAAACAATGTCTTCAAAGGCTATATGACCCTGGTCAGCAACTAATTTTTAACAGCAGAAGTCATATTTTGAACCGAACAAACATTTAGAGATTCAGCCGCATTGGGTCACATAAGCTGAACCCCAAGGAATTACCTCTCCCAAATTCCATCTCAATGGAAATACCAACAGCACTTCCTTTTAGCATTACAGCTGCTCACCATCATTCTGCATATATGGAGCATGCTCACAGACCTTTGTTGCTGTTCCTGCTGCAGATGAAGGGGTGAAGGAATCTTTGCCTACATCTTAGTGTGTGTGAAGTTTCCGTGTATGCTGGTGGTTGAATTTGGCCCCGAGCTCCAGATACCTGCTGCTCCTTTATCATTTTGCTGTATTTCTGCATCTTTATCCCAGCAAGCTAGATAAATTAGTAGTTTATTGCAACATGCCAGGATTCACAGCTTATCATTGCATATGCAAGTGTCAATGTGGGTGAGGAATGCACATGCCCTACTTAGGAGAAAGAAGTAAAGGCAGGCAGTGTAATCTAGAATGGGGCAGAGCTAATAACATTGAAGAGGCATAAAAGGGGAGAACACAGGATAGCTCAGTCGGTAGAGCGTGAGACTCTGAATCTCAGGCTTGTGGGTTCAAGCCCCATGTTGGGTAAAAGATTCCTGCATTGCAGGGGGTTGGACTAGATGGCCTTCCTGGTCACTTCCAACTCTATTCTACGATTCTATGAGGAGAGAGGGAGAGGGGAAGAGAAGAGCACACTGGAGATTCACTGACTCAACAGCAGTTCCGGCCATGTATTGAGATGATGAACTTCCAACCGAAACTCTATCAGGCTTTTGCCTGTTTGCACAGCAGGGTAAAAGTCCATGGAACGACAGGCTGGTCCCTGTGGTTCCCGCCAGGCATGTGTGCACAGGGAGCAGGTGATGATGAGAAGCAGTCATAAAAGTGCCCTCTGTCCCCACCCCCGCTCCAACGGCTTGGCCCAGGTTATGAAATGGGCTCAGGTGCGTTTGCCCAAAGTCATCTCCCCACCTGTGTGCACTTTCAGGAGCTTAGCTGAGAGAGTCCTGTTTGCCTTGAACCAGAAGTGAGTGCAAATGTGCAAATTTGGCTTCATCAGCTATCTACTGCTGCTTGTTTCCTGGTTTTTCATGCTTCCACTTAAGGGGGGGGGAATTCAAGGCACCCCCAGAAGGTCACATCAGGTGCTCTCTTCAGTGGTTCTGCACAAAACCCAAAAGGCAAGAAGAATGATTTAAGTTACTGCTGTTAGTTTTCTGCAATTGTAGCTATGTCTACTTTCTACATACATTTGTGGCTCTGTGGCATAATTTTGATCTCTGCTTTTTAGTCCTCAAGGTTGTAGTAATAGATGGCAGAGTAATGGTCTAGGTGGTTCTCTTAGATCTTAGGGAAGACGATTTCCCCAATGTTGCTTGGACATCTTTTTTTTTTTTAAGGAAGAAGACAGCAATGACAGGGATTTCATCTAGCACATAAAACATGTGCTCTACAAATGAGCTATGGCTTTTCTGGAAAAGGCTCCCTTGGTTTGGAAGACTGAGGAGACTAAAGAGTGCGTAAAGTGGAGGGGGATCTAAGTACTGTGATAATTCCTGCCATCCAGTTACCACCCTTTCCCTTAATTAATTTGGAATACTTATATACTGCTACCTCATTAACCCGTTTCTGTATCTGTCTTGCTGCATTTCCCCCTAAACGTTCTGGAGTCTGTCAAAATTTGGAATAAAGCATTTTCAGGTGGAGCCATTCCATGCAGAATAAAGTGGCACGCTTGTCTTTGTTTGCATAATGCATTTTGTGCCTTTTGAACCGTGTGTAGGGGTGAAGAGACTCCTCTAGGGAGACCTGCTCTTTCCTATAGAGAAGAAGGAATTTCAGCAGGAGGAGCTGCAGGAATCAAAGTTTGTGCATCAGTGCAGGCTTCCTTCATGCATTTGCCAGTAGAGGGAGCAAGGATATCGGGTGAGGGGAGGGGGACTGGCTCAAAACAGGAAGGTGTCACAAATGCTCCTGACCCCCGACCCGAGCTGCTAGGGTTCAGTCCCTAAATCCCTGGGTCACAGTTCAGTGCAAATCCATTCAGAAGTGGAAAAGTACTGAGGAGGTAGCTAGTCAAAGGAGGGTCAGACAGGTTAGAAACAGGCAGGCAGGGAAGATGAAAGTAAAACATGAATTCAACTCTCGCTGTGATGAATTTGGAACAAAATAAGGGCCTGTCTCATCTTGACAGAAAGCATTTGTATACGTGGCAGCTGCCCGATCTAGCAGTCACACTGTGTTCTGCTGTCTGAGTGTGGGGATTTTTTCCCCCCAGATGGCAAAACACAGACCTAGATCAGATCTGCTACCTTTGTTATGAAGTTGGCAAATCAGAGCTGATTACTTGCCATTGGATAAAGCAGGTGTGGGAAACCTCTGACCCTCTGGAGGTTGGTGAACAACAACGCCCATTCTCCTTGGCTGTTGGCCATGTTTGCTGGGGCTGATGGGAGTTGTAGTTCACCAACCTCTGGAGGGGCAAGAGTTCCCCACACCTGGCACAAAGCAAGGCAAGCAGAAGGTGGGATGGCATTTAGGATATGTGGGAGCCAGTGTTAGGGACAGTAGGGCTTGCGACAGGACAACCTGGAAGCGTGAGGTCTGGTTCCTTATTGACAGGGAGATAGGCAACTGAAAATAGAGAAACAGGGCAAAGAACTGATATGGGGCAGGTCACAGAAGTTTTGTGCAAAGTGGTTGGGGCTGATAGGATCCAACAACCATTCTACTTGCTAACAAAGTATTTCTTAGAGCTCAGAAACGATACATTCCACTGCTAGAACCAGTAATAGAATCATAGGTGCTTTATTTGGCTTGGCAGAAATTCAGTTATCAAACCAGGCAGGTGCTGTGAATCTAGGTGAATACTAGACAGGCATTCCATTCTGTCTCAGGCCACATAGAAAAGGTTGGTAGCACTTTAGTTTTTGTTAAAATCAAAGTAAATCCTACATACCAGAAATCTGCTTCCCCCCGGAGTAGATTACCAGGGTCAAACATAGCATGAGAAATGGAAGTTAAGTGTGTTAAATACAGCTTTAGTGTAGGTGTCTTTTAACACTACTGCTGATAATGTTCACTCCATTCTCTTCTTTCTGATAATGCCTCCTAAACATGTTCAAACTCCAACTCATTGAAAAGCAACAGATCTCTTGAATGCCACTCCACTGATGATGAAGTAACAACACAGACATAGGACATGGGGATCTGCCTTGTATTGAATGAGACCATTGGTCTGTCAGGTTCAGTGTTTCCTACACTGGTTAGGGTTCCAGCGATTGTTCCCTCCTAGCCTTTTCCAGGAGATGTCAAGGATTGAGCTCTACCACTGAGCTATGGTCCAGTGTCATGTTCCCCAAATAAACCAAGATGACTCTGGGAAGTCGTCAAAGTCACACATGGAGGCAACAGTCCCAGCATCTTGCTTGATCCCCCAGAAACAGGTATTCAGAGGCATAATCACTTGCTTCTGTATACAAAAAGACAAAAAGTCCTGTTAGCCACTGGCAAACCTCCTGCTCCAGGCATTTGTCCCCTCTTCACTTACTGCTTGACGCAGCCTGCAATCTCCATCTGACTCCGAAACAGAGCTGTGTGCCAAACAGCCAACCTGCTGCTGCTAGCCCTCCCTGGCAGCTCGCTCTCATTTCACCTCATTCTCTAGCTAGCTAATGGTAACAACATACTCTGTGCTGGTCCAGAGAGGGACAGAAACATACAGAGAATGGGAAGGTTTCTCCTGCTCACTTGCTGATCTATTTATCTGCATGGTCCTTCTGTCCTTCTGAGAGAGAGAGAGAGAGAGAGGGAGGGAGAGAGAGAGGGAGGGAGGGAGGGGAGAGGCAGAGAGAGAGAGAGCATCTCTGGAACAAGTGGAAGAGCCAGAGTGCGAACAAGCGAACTGCAGGGAGGGAGAAGGAGTGCATAGCAACGCGACTCCACGATGAAGAACCAGGAGCACCATCCTCAGAAGGTAAGACAAGGAGGCAGTGAGCAGCTTGTGTTGGAGGCATATAATTAGATGCCACAAAAGGAGAAAGTGTGTGTGTGTGTGTGTGTGTGTGTGTGTGTGTATCAGGGGAAGAGAGCTGTAGCAGGTGCCTTTTTCTGGATGGCAAAACAATCCAGGCTCAGGATTGCACATCCCACAGTCCCTTTATCCTTTCCCCCAGGTAAGGTTGGCAGGGGATGCTTCCTCTGGGACCCAGACCCTTCAGAGTAGCAGGTTGTCTGCTGCTAAAGGTGGAGAGCGACAACACCTTCTGCCCCTGGCAGGACCCCAGGAAGCAGCAGGTGGGGCAGGTGGGAGGCCGGGGGTGACTGTCTGTCTGTCATTGCACAGCCAGCTCTTCTCACTCTCTTTAATTAGCAAGCTGGGGGGGGGGGCTGTGCCTATACTTGAATGCACCTGCTTTTCACCAACCAGCCTCATCACACAGGTGTTTCCACCAGGGGATGATGCATGCTATATGGCTGGGGGTGGGATTTAGGTAAGGAAGAATTGGGTGGGGAGAGAGAGGATTGCAAGTCCCCTGTAGTGTTTGCATCAGTGCTTGTCCTCCCACTGCATCCTATGTGCAACAGGTGCTAAAAGGGAAAGAGTGCCCAGGAAGACAGGCTAGAGAGGTTCGCATCGGACATGGCTGGAGCAGGAAACCAGGTCAGGTCTATCGAGCCCCTCTTTGCTTCTTTCCATATCCGCTCCCTCTCGGCTTGCATCACCTGGCTGGCTCCTCCCTCTTTGCCCCTGGGAAGCCTTCTTCTGGCAGTGATTCTTTTCCCCTTTCCCCTCCCAACTTTTACATCACCCAGGCAGAATCTCTTACATAAGCATGTCAGTGTGGCATAGTGGTTAGAGTCCCAGGTAGGACCTGAAAGAGCAGGGTTCAAATCCTCACTCAGCCACGAAGGTCACTTGGGGCCAGTTACAGCCTAGGGTTGCTGTGAGAATAAAATGGAGTGGGAGTGGAGTGGACCATGCGCTGTATGCCACCCTGGGATATGAATGTATTAATGTTTATTCATTTATTTATTATCCTTCCCCACATCTCCCACTTCTGACTCTGCTGCTGGCTGTTCCAAGACATTTTGCAGCAAATGAAGGTGGAGCAGCAAATAGCACCCAGTGCCCCCCACCCCAGTTCAAGGCCAGCCAAGTTATTTTGGGCCTTGAGGCAGAAAATCCCACAAGACTCCAACTACCATTCAGAGTGTGCTGTCTGAGAAAGTTCACAAGATTTGCAAGGATAGGTAGTCTATAAGCATAGCCATCCATCCTGTTTCTGACTGGTGCTAGCAGGGGTGGACTTTGGTAATATTTTGTAATATGACGTCCTGTGTGAGGCCAACATTTGGCGTCCCAAAATGGCTCTTCTCAGTTTTGAGCCCCCTTGGCTCGGCACCACCCTAAATCTGGTGCTAGTGCCAGTCTTTGGGCCCAAAGGCTCTCTCATCGCGGCAGGTAGCAGGCAAAGCAATTTTTTAAAAAAACAAGTTACAACCGCCAAGAAAACCCCCTAATTAAAATGCGCAATGAAACAATTTAATCAAAACGTTAGAATAAAAATCCACAGTCAAAATGCACAATAAAGCAATCCCATTAAGACAGCAGCAGAAGATCCAAGTCAGGAGCTATGGGGAATACTTGTCTAAATGGGGATTTGCTATGATTTTGAGGAAGCAGTGAGCCTTGTTTTGCTCTAGTGACTTTCAAGGTGGCTTCCTGCCGTCTCTAGTCCAGGTCTCCAACCCCCATCCCAAATTTTGAGAGACAGGAAAATCAATTTGTTTCTGGGCTAGTGGTGCTGGATAAGTAGGTGAAAGTACCGCCATTTCACCAAATAATGAGCCTTCACCAGAACAGAGTGGTGGAGATGCCATGCAGCCTCAGCCAATTGATCTGAACACCTCTGAGAGGCATGAACTCATCTAATCCCCAGGACACTTACTCGTGTCTGCTTTCCCCCCAACTTTTGTGTGTGGCATGCACACTGACGGGGTTCAGACAATAATATCTCAGCAGCTTCAGAACAAGGCAAGGTATTAAACCAGGTTCAAACTGAAGTTCAATATCATAAGCAGCTGCTCTACAACAGAGATAAGCCCTCTCTTTTATGCACATGTGTGCGCACACACACACCTCACATAAATGTAACTTAATGCTAAGGTCCCCCTTCTCTCTCCCTGTAATGTGTAACTGAGGAAATGAAAGATATGGCATCATTACACCGTGCTAATGTAGAGTAAGGGGAGGCTACTACATATCACATCTGGTTCCAACCAGATCTGAAGTCAAGGTCTACAAAATGGGACACTCCCAAAAACTGTGGAGAAAAATATTCATTTTGAAATGGTTCGGGGGGGGGTCTTTTGATTTCTCCAGCTGCCAGCTTGTGACTCAGATGTGGCACAGATGCATTTCTTAAAGTGAGGGATTTTCTCTCTTTCCTGTAACTCAGTGTTCTTGAGTGTGATGTGGAACTGATGACCTAAATCAGTAAAATAAAGGCTTTTGTTGGGCTTACACACACTCTAATAAATGTTTTTCGTATTCCAAAAGGCGGTCTATCACATTCATCTGGTGTGTATTGGAATAATAATATTTGTCCTTTTTACCACAATAGTCATCATATACTTTCTTTTTATATATATGCAAAGCTAGCTTATCCATTGTTCCTTCATTTATCTGAACTATTTCCCACCCTCCTGCTCTGATTCTGCCCTTGTTTTTTCTGCTCTGAACTATTTCTGTTTGAGGATGCCTTCATAGAATACCTAGCTGTCCAAAGGACAGGAGAAGGGAATGGCAGAAAGCTGTTAAAAATTTCCTGCTGAGGAACCTGTGCTGGAGTCTCTCAGTCTCCCAGCAGAGTTTGGCATTATAGATTAACCACAATGCTTAAACTTTGCAGCCTGGGAAGAAAAGCTTCTTGCCTCAATTTGTTGTTCCAAGCGATGGTGTGTATGATTGAATTTTTTTTCTTCAGGAACAGAAGGCTGCCTAAGAAAAATGAAAAGCAAAGATGCTCAGAATGCCACCAGGATTCTAAAGAAAGCACCAGATTGTAGCACGGAGAGACAAACATGTCACTCCAAAGTATAAGAGTGATCACACTCAGTGGAAAGTGGCCTTGGCCAAAAAATGGGGTAGGGTCTTTGTCAGAATGAACGTTAGGCTGATTCATATTACTTCAGTTGTGGGATAACCCTTCATTAACCCTTCCCGGTGCTCAATTTGTAGAAAGCCAGGTGCTAGAAACTGCTCTCAGGTATGAGACATATGTACTCTACATATGCTTAGAGGCATACTCTTTCTTTAGACATCCCATGGCATAGTATATAGGTTCCAGGAATGAGCCATAGAGCTGTGGCCTTCCTGGAGAGAGATAGCCTGGCCACTGGTAACTTCCAGGCTGGATTACTATAATGTGCACCATATGGGGCTGCCCTTGGGTCCAACTAGTGCAGAACATGACAGCCATACTGTTGATGGGGGCATCTGGCCGAGAACCTGTGACACCATAGTTAAAACAGCTGCACTGGCTGCCCATCTGCTACAGAGCCAGGGTCAAGATCCTTGTATTAATTTACAAAGCCATTCCAGGGTACGTCAGGAATCACCTGAACTGTTATATCTCAGCTCAGTCACTGAGCTCATTGCAGGGGCATTGTTGGTCGTTCCTCAGATTTATGAGGCCTTCTTGATAACAACAAGAAATAGAGCCTTTCATATCATTGGCTCAGTCCTGTGGAACACTCTGCCACTAGAGATTCAGCAGGTGCCTTCTGTTCCAACTTTTCAACACCTGCTGAAAACTTTTTTATTTCGCTAGGCTTATGCAGTCAATTAAGAATACATCTTTCCACAATGGTTAATTGATTTCTGTTTTTAACTTTTTAATATGCTTTTTACTGTATTGTTTTGTGTATTTTTCTTGTAAGCTGCCTTGATATATATATTTTTACAAAATAGCTGCATATAAATAAACAAATAGAGGGACCCCTGGCTAAAATTCAAGCTCTGCGGGCACCCTTCCCCTCTCCCATCTTAATTACGTACATATTTGGCAAGCAAGTTCCCTTGAGTCCAAAAGTGTGTGCAAGTGACTATAAGCTGTGATGTGGACATTTTCACAAAGTAATTTATGTATGTGACTGGATATAACAATAAACACTAGTTCGTTAACTGCCTTCCTCATACTATGCCTCTGCTTTGCTTTGGGGCAGTTAAAGAGAGAGAGAGAGAGCCAAGTATTGTGTGGGTTGATTCATTGCACCTGAGATACTGACACTGATAAGAAAACAATAACCAAGGACCAAGCTTAGAGTCTTCTTACTCACAGTAGTCTCATAGATGATGAAGGGCATTTAGACAAAAGGGAGTATGACAGGATGAGGGTAGAAGAGAGAGATTAAGCAATCAAAGGTAAGTAGTTTGGACCATAATGTGGGCTGAAAATGGGGTTTAAGAGAATCTATTAGAACTAACATTCTAAAGATTACTAGTTAACATTGATTTCATGCCAAGCAGGTGCTAGAAAAAACCCCTAAAGGATTTTGACTTATTTAGTGAACATGTTTCCTAAAACAAAGGCATTTATTTTTATTTTTATTTTCAAAAAACCCTCCAAAAAAGAAGTGTTCTGGAAAGTGTAAGGTTTTCTTTTATTCAGACAGCACAGAATGTAATATATAATATATAATATCTATATCTATATCTATATCTATATCTATATCTATATCTATCTATATCTATATCTATCTATCTATCTATCTATCTATCTATCTATCTATCTATCATCTATCTAGATATTTAGAAAAGCATTACAACGCCTGCTGAAATGATTTCTTTATTTCAGCTATTTATATACTGCTTAATCACTGAAGTGTATAAGTTAAAATTGTTTGTAAAACAGAAAACCTCCTTAAAATTTACTGCTTTTTTAAGTGCGTACATGCATGTATGCACACACAGACACTATTATTATATCAATAGAAAAAAGTCATCATAGTTTCCTTGTTGTGTAAATAATGTATATAAAGCAGACATTCTGGGGGAACTTCCATTCCTCCTCACCACTATGAGCTGAATAAAGAGCATGAAATAATAATAATAAAAAAATCATAGTTTCCTTGTACACCTTACTCAACTAAGAATTTTTAAAATACATTTGCCGCTTATTTTAAAGGCATTTCCCCACCCCAACTTGCTTTAGAACACATATTCCATTGCACCCAGCTAGTTTGTCCTACTTTCTCTGTGTGCTGCCTCACTCCTTTTTCTTACAAGGGAATGATTGCAAGATCTCATTGCTTCAGCAAAAATCCTGGAAAAATATAAGCCGTTACTGCAAGAGGTTTAGAAACTGGAGGTTTACGTTGCATAATGGTGAGACTTAGGCTGTGTACACATGGATACCATTTACTCCAGCTTCAGTGCACTCCCACTACTGGTACAGTGAAACTGAGTACACATGATATTGGCTAAAACCCATCTGTATCTTGAGAAATTCTCTTGTTCAATGCATTTCCCCTTAAACCACCTTCCACTTGATTTGAAAACATAAGCTGTGGTTAAGCTGAGATGTGTACATCTGAGACAGCCATTGCACATGCACTGATGGTAGCCCATGTGCAGATGACCTCTTCATCAAATAGGACAGGCATAGGCAAACTCGGCCCTCCAGATGTTTTGGGACTACAACTCCCATCATCCCTAGCTAACAGGACCAGTGGTCAGGGATGATGGGAGTTGTAGTCCCAAGCATAGCTGTCAACGTTTCCCCTTTTCTAAGGGAAATTCCCTTATTCCGAATAGGATTCCTCACAAGAAAAGGGAAAAGTTGACAGCTATGGTTCCAAGACATCTGGAGGGCCAAGTTTGCCTATGCCTGAAATAGGAGTTTGGTGCAAGGAAACTAAATCAGGTAAGGGGCATGGGTAAAGACATGGTTTGAAGCTCAATTGAACCCGAATTAGGTGATCATTCTGATCTGGTTGGGACTGCAATCTCCTGAATGATCGCACAGACACTTTTGGAAGTTTCCTGGATCCTGCAATGCTCCTGGGTGCCCTCAGTGACCATAAGCGTTTTTCAGCATAACTGGCTGATGCACCAGTTGTGTTCCTAACTGGAGAAGACCTGGCCAGTTCTTCATGCCCCTGTTGTGCCCAGTTTAGATCATTGTAACCTGTTCCATACATGGCTGCCTTTCCAAAGCACTTGAAAGCTTCAGTTGCTTCAAAATGCAGCTGCCTTGGTATGATGTTTTGTCATGCCAGTGATACTCCAGTTGTACCAACATGAATTTTGGTTCCAGGCTGAATTTGAAGTCTTAACCTTAAGGCCTTAAATGATCTGGGGCCAGCTTGATTTAAGGACTGCCTCCTTCCTTTTGCTCATGCTCAAGCACTCTGTTCAACTGCCACTCTGTTGGTAGTCCTGCTGCCTAAAATTTGGCAGGTGGTGACACAAGATGGCTTTTCTGATGCCGGAGCCTAGACTGTGGAATGACCTTCCCAGAAAGAGCCATATGGCTACCTTGCTTGCTCACTTTTCAGTGAGAAGCTAAAATGTGGCTTTTTAAAGGAAGCTTTTGGTCTGTATTAATTTTATCTTGTAGCTACTTAACATTGCTAATATATTTTAGATTTTAAAATGCTGTATTGTAAATCACTTTGACAGCCTTTGGGAGGATTAATGGCATATAAATGTGTTCAGTGAACAGATGAATGGCTATTATGGTGCCTGGAAAAATATACAGTACCATGAAGGGCACTTTTAGTAGATTTTCCCTGGTTATATTCATTTCTACAGATGTTGGCACTGTCCTGTCCATATAGTTACTTTCTGCTTTGATGTGTTAGGTCTAGATTATTATAAATGTAAGTGTGTATGTGAGAAAGCGAGTGAGTGTACATGATAATGTACTTGTCCACATGAGTTACAGATATGTCATGTACATACATAGGCATCTTTTGCAGTAAGATATATAGAAGTTTCTTTGGGCATCATGTTCATATATGTGCCATGAAGCCTTGGGCCAGTCACCATCTCTTAGTCTATCCTAAGCAGAACCATGTACACCACCTTGAGATCCTTGGAAGATAGAGGTGGTATATAAATGTAATAAAGAAATAAAAATATATAATTGCATCTATGAGGTCTGTATACAGATACACATGTTATTCACATGTGTGTGGTATTAGCTTGCCCACGTACAGACATGTTTGTATGGCTGGGTCTGAGCAGAGATATGTGCGCATGTTAGTGCAAGAGCATGTAAACATATGGCAGGTAAATCTGTGCTTCATTATTTCCTCAACAACTAACACTTTCTTCACTTGTCTCCATGGAAACTGAACAAGAGGAGCATTGCTACAACTGTAGCCTATTGTGGAAGAGGAAAGGGCAGCTATTGAAGGAAAAAAAGGAGAACCAATGTTTAATTTGGGCCAGCGCTCACCAGTGCTCTGGCTGTTTTCAAGGAACATATGAATTAATAATAAAGATCAAATAGTTCTCCTGAGTTTCGGCAAGCGAACCTTTCAATCTCTGCTGAGTAGCTAGAGCCTGTCCCCTCATGTCAAGGATTTTCAGGGAGAGCTTTCAAGTCAGAGTGTGTGGTTTCCATATAGGGTTGAGCCCCGTCGCCTCTCTTTTTATGAAATTAAGAACCAGGTGCAGGCAGCTTCTTGTGTTGGGAAAATATATTTGGAAGCCACGTCAAGGGAGGATCATTTTTAAGTCAGTCTAGTTCAGCCATTGTCTTAAATGAGGCAATGGAAGCCAGAGAGATGATGGGTTGCTGCTTTTTAACTCGGCAAACCAAAGAGGGTTTGTTGGGCCAGAGCTGAGGTAGCCAATGTACTCATTGTATGTTGTATGCTCCAGGAGTTATGAGACTCCAATTCCCATCAGCCTCAGACAACTAGATCAGTGGTTATGGATGATGGGAACTGGAGTCCAACAACGTCTGAGGACACTATGTTAGCTATCGCTGGCCCTGGGGTGCAATAGGGGCTAAGTTAATCCCTGACAAACATCACGCAAGCTGGGAGAGCAGGACTGGACATGGAGAAGTGGTGTAGCTCTATGCCAGAGCACAAGCTTTGCCTGATGAAAATCTCTAATTCAATTGCTAGCATCTCCAAATACAGCTGGGGAAAACGTCTGTTGGAACCAAACCCCCGGAGAGCATAGTCAGTGTAGAGTAGACCAAGGGTAGTCCATGTGGTGCTCTCCAGATGATGTTGGAGTCTACCTGCCAATTCTAGCTGCCATGGCCAGTGATTAGGAAAGATGGGAACTGTAGTCCCAACAATAACCGGAGGTCACAAATGGGCTGGCTCTGTATAAAGAAACAGCTCCTGTTGTGGACCTCTGAGGCTGAGAAGATGGACTTCACTCAGCTCATGACAGATGCAAGTCTTTCCTTGCAGCTCCCATCAGCCCCAAGGAGTATGGGCAGCCATGATGAAAGCCACGGTCACTCAGTGGCAGATCTCTTGGTGTTTCAAATTTCAGTGGCACCCTGTGTGACGCCAAAATTTGGAGCCCCTCCACCTCTTGAGCTCCCCAGAAGGCACCCCTGAGGCACCATGCCCCGTGCGACCGAACCAGTTGTGCTCCCCTAAGTATGCTGTAGTCCAATAAAATGGAGGGCCACAGGTTGCCCACCCCTGTGTGTGTATATTACAGACATATACCACCATCTAGCTTCTATCAACCCTTTTCTTAAAAATAAAAATAAAAATCATTTCTCCTTACTCTCTGAAGTTTCCCTTGCATTTCTTTCTGTCTTCTTCCAACAACCTTGTCTTTAATTCCTCACTTCTGCCCTTTGTCAGCCCGTGATTCCAGACTTGCTAATGACTCCAAGCGATCAAGGAGATGGTGACCTGGAGATTGAGTACCCTGAAGACAGAGGGAATTGGACAGGCAAGCTGGATTTCCTTTTGTCCTGTATTGGCTACTGTGTTGGACTGGGGAACGTCTGGAGGTTTCCATACCGCGCTTACACAAATGGAGGAGGTAAGCCCTGGGCTTTTCTTACTAGGGCTTTTGTGGGCTCCTGCCACATCCTGTGCTGGAGGGCTGCATCTCTATATTGAAAACTGACAATAGAAAACTGGCGTCAGGTAGGAGGTGTGTGTGCACGCAACTCCCACAGCAGCAGCTGCAACGCAGGCATGGCCCAGAAGGACTCCCCAATGCTGCTGCTTTGACTGTAGCCACAACCAACTTCAGGAAACACACCAAGCAGACACCTGATTTCCTGCATCAGCTTCGGCTTGGAGTCACAAACGACTGTGCTAATCCCCTGGGTTGGATGTGCATTTGCTCTTGGCTGGTGCACAAGCACCCTGGGGACACTGCTGAGTTACTGTCTCTCTGCAGCTTGCAAGACATTGATCTGGTAGGCAGGAGCCTACACTGCCCACCCCAAATGACAGGCACACCTGCATCTCTGAAATGCAGGGAAGGGGGGGTGGAGTGTTTTATTTTATTTTTTAAAAAAAGACAGACACCAGGGACACAAGTGATATTGAAGTGGTATTTCAAGAATATCTGCCTAGGCTATGGTCCCTTTAATGTTTACAAAACCAAAATGGGGACGGGGTGATCACAACAAAAACTGCCAGAAAGTCGACACCTAAACATACAAAACTCAAATTCCTGTAGTTCACTCCAGCTCAGTGCTGGATGAAAAGGCACAGGTCCCAAGATTGTGTATCCTATTCATGGGTGCTAGTCCTCTGTGACCCATTTCCTATACCCCTATGGTGTCCTGGGATATACAACTAAGGACACATTTATCAAGGGGCTGGCTGCCATGCCATATGAACTGTTTACTCTTAAGCAGGCTTCAGCATGGTGCCAGGCACCTCTGTCAAATGTCCTGCGTGTTTCTGAAAGCAACGCTGATGAATCAGTAGGAGGCATACATCCTTCTGAGTCAGTGCATAGTGCAGCTTGCATGAATTCAGGATGTGAAAGGGCACTCCTGGAGATACCATCTTCTCCACTGGGGAGAAAAGTAACAATAACAACAAGATTCTAACCATTCACTGTAAATCTTTATCAGTGTTTTGCTTATGCCATAGGGGTGTCGGTCCCAGAAAGCTGACAGAATTCAGAGAAATAATTTGATTTTGCTTAGCTGAATCTTCTGGTTAGTGTTTGATGAATAGTGTCTTCAGATTGCTTTTCTAAGAATGGTGGGTGGAATTGTTTTTCTTTGACAAAATTGGCTGGCTTTCAGTAGAGTAGAAACTGAACCCTTTGAATTGACAGAAAATCTTGTGAATCTCAAGACAGCTGCCAAAAATGCAAATTTGAAAATATGTGCCATGTAGATAGTCTTTGACGTTTTAGGTTTTTTTCCCATTTTAATCCACTGATTAGGATACTATGGGGATTTAATTGGGTTCTTGGCTGAACCACAGTCACTCCAGTGATCTTGTCAAGTCATTTAGATTCAGCTTTCACCTTAAAGTCCTTGCTCTAAGTCCCCCAGATCATCTCAGTTTCCTATTATTGTACCTATTTCCTCATCTTTGTAACCATAGATGCTAAGGAATGATTCCCGACCTTCTGCAAGCAAAGCATGTGCTCTATCACTGAACTATGATCCCATCACAAGCAAGTTATTATGATAGGGGGTACCTCCAATGCTGGAGTCATAGAGTTCTCAGATGGCAACCTGGGCATTTGCACATACATTTAAAGTAACTGGAAATCAAGGGAGCTATTGCAGACTTGGGCACTGCTCAGGCATGCAGTATCCACACAATGACACCAAAATGCCGTCCCGTTCTCCCCACTCCCATTCTCACTTAATCCACATTTACTGTTTCCAGTTTTTGTTTTAACCTATTGGGTTTTCCATAGAAATGTTCAATCCAGATTAAAGGTGCAGCCTTCACTGTAGATCCTACATTGAGCTGGTGTTGCATTAGATGACCTCCAAGGTCCCTTTAGCACAATGAATCTATGCTACATAGGGAAGTTATATAACAAGGTGCTCACATTTAACTGTGCTGCTTGCCCAAAATCCAGTCATGCCCCCTGTGCCTTGTGTCACAATTTTCTATCCTACAGGGGCATTCCTTGTTCCTTATTTCATCATGCTGGCGATCTGTGGGATTCCCATCTTCTTCATGGAGCTGTCGCTGGGCCAGTTCTCCAGCTTGGGGCCTCTTGCTGTTTGGAAGATAAGCCCTCTGTTTAAAGGTATGTGTGCATGCAAGGCAGTTCTCAGCTTCCTTGATGTTTCTGTCTCCCTCTCTTCTGCTGAGAACTATAAAACCAGGGTCCGTTGTGTCAGTAGCAAAAAGGCATAGCAGCAGCTGTTACCACTGTCTCCGCTCATCATGGAGCAAACTTACAATATAGGAGTCTATGGGTGCGAATGGATGGTACACAAAGGGATCAGTGAAGCTGCATGGTGAGAGGCACAGAGAAGGCAGCCTTTCTCTCTCTCATTGCTTCAGAGTTTTGGTTTCCCCCCCCCCAAATTTTTTTATTAAATTTTCCATAATTATAACAAATATAACCTAACAGAAAAAGAAAAAACATACCAAAGGAAAAAACAATACAGTACATTACAAAACAAACATAAGCAAAACCACCACCACAATAATAATAATAAATCTTAATCCCTTAAAACCCAACCTTGTTTACATGTTGATTGACTTCCTCTAATCCCTCCCTTCTGAATTTCCTTGTATTTGCATGTAACAGCTTTCCAATATCATTTTTAAACAGAAAGATTTCCAACTTTTATCTATCTTATTCACTTATCTAACCAATCTAAGTCACATTTATGTAATTGAATCCTAATTTAATCCTAGGCCTATTTGGTACTTTCAAGTGATTTCTAGTTATTTATATTACAATATTTATTCAAATAGTCCTTAAATTTCTTCCAATCTTCTTGGTATTCCTCTTCTTTCTGGTCACGGATTTTTCCAGTCAAGTCAGTTAGCTCCAGAAAGTCCATCATCTTCATCTGCCATTCTTCCATTGTTGGTATTTCCTGTGTTTTCCAGTTCTTGGCTAGTAATATTCGAGCAGCCGTTGTGGCATACAAAAATAATTTAACATCTTTTTTTGGCAGTTCCAAACCTGTTATTCCAAGAAGAAAGGCATCTGGTTTCTTAATAAATGTATATTTCAAGATTTTTTTCCAAATCGTTGTTATTGTTATTGTTACAGAGTTTTAATGGTCCAGTCTCAAGCTCTGAGTTGCATCAGAAACAACCCCAATGAGGCCAATGTTTTCACGTGGCTTGTGTGCTTTTAAATGCAACAGGGTACACTAGAGATGGTGACAAATGTGACAGCCAGGATGAAAATTACTGGTGAGGATAGCTATCAATGGATAGGGATGCTTGAGGAATCAGTCCCTTGCAAATTCCAGGACAGGCAGACACAATCCACACCTCCCAGATGAATGTGCAGATTGGAATACAACTATCCCTTGGGATTTCACAGTTTTTCAAATTCTGCAAAAGCACATATACAAATGTGTAGTTTGAGACAAAATATATTTAGGGTGCTTCCAGACTGGTGTTTACAATGGTAACTCGGGTTACAGACGCTTCAGGTTACAGACTCCCCTAACCCAGAAATATTACCTCAGGTTAAAAACTTTGCTTCAGGTTAAGAACATACCTCCAGAACGAATTAAGTTCTTAACCCAAGGTACCACTGTACTGTGGTGTTGGTGTGTCTCACGTATACACGTTTTTTGCAGTATCCAGCCTGTATTCCTCCCCCATCCCCTGGCATGGCATTTAATCCAGATTTACCCTTTCCAGGAAGAAGAGGTAAAACAAACACCTGTTTGCAATATCTCAATAACCTGCTTGCATATTAACTCCCCTCCTCAAAATCTGGAAGCAACCTTAGCAATGCATAGCGATAGTCACCAACTTGATGGCTTCAAAAGAGGATTAGACAAATTCAAGAAGGACATTGCTATTAGCCACAGTGGCTATGTACTGCCTCCCTGTAGGAGGCAGTATGCCTCTGAATACTAAGTGCTGGAAACTGCAGGAGGGGAGAGCTCTGTTATTCTCCACTCCTGCTTGCAAGATTCTCAAAGGCATCTGGTTGGTCACTGTGAAAATAGGATGTGGCCTAGATAGCAGAGCTATTTTCATGTACTTATGTAATTTGTGAGAAAATATGTGTCTAAAGGAGCGTCTCCACCCCCATCGTTCTGCCCGGACGCTGAGGTCCAGCGCCGAGGGCCTTCTGGCGGTTCCCTCATTGCGAGAAGCAAAGCTACAGGGAACCAGGCAGAGGGCCTTCTCGGTAGTGGCGCCCGCCCTGTGGAATGCCCTCCCATCAGATGTCAAAGCGATAAATAACTACCTGACATTCAGAAGACATCTTAAGGCAGCCCTGTTCAGGGAAGTTTTTAATCTGTGATATTTTACTGTATCTTTGGTTTTTATGGGAAACCCAGCCAGATGGGCGGGGTACAAATAAATAATAATAATAATAATAATAATAATAATAATAATAATAAATGTAAATTTTAGTTTTGATTTCTTTTTTAAATGTAGATTAATTCAGAAATAGGGCAAAATGGATTTATGAATGTAAACATGCAAAACTGACACGCACCAGGAATAGGCTGGTCCTTCCATCCTCTGTACATAATCATGTAACCAAAGCAAATGAAGCTTTCTTCTCCAGTGGTCAAGTGCCAGCCTATGTGGTTATGGCTGACTCAGATTTTCTGGCATGGAAATGTTCACTATGAACAGTGCAGCATATAAGCAGCACCCAAGGAGCTGTTTGAGTCTTGTTGCCGTTATGGTAATCTGTCTTCCATTTTTGTTCCCTTTTCAGGTGTTGGCATGGCCACAATCCTGATTGTCTGCTTGGTGGCCATTTACTATAACATGATCATCGCCTACGTTCTCTTCTACCTCTTTGCCTCGCTGACAAAAAACTTGCCCTGGCAGTACTGCGGCAACTGGTGGAACACAGACCTGTGCCTGGACCACCACATCATGCGCACGGGGAATGGCGCTGTCCCCTTCAACATCTCTAACACTGTCAGCCCAAGTGAGGAATACTGGAGGCAAGTACAATAGGCCAGGGAATGTTTAGGTGACCATTGACGACCATATTGGACCTGATTGACAACTGCACACTCTAAATCAGGGATCCCCAGCCCTTTTGGGGCCCTTGGCCCAATCCAGTTTATGTTCCTAAATTAGGTGGTTTTCTATGGCAGATTTGCCCTCTCTTGTACTAAGAGAGACATGATGCTCCTGTCCATTAACCGCCTCCCTTTTGTCCTAGTCGTTATGTCCTGCACATCCAGGAGAGCTCGGGGATTGGCGATCCTGGGAGGATCCGCTGGAATCTATGCCTGTGTCTTCTCCTCGCCTGGGTCATTGTGTACCTATGTATCCTAAAGGGAGTCAAATCCTCTGGCAAGGTAAAGTATGAATCGGCAGCAGGCACTGGTGTGTTTGAAGCAATGCTTGTTCTGGAATTATTAGCTAAACTCAATGGTTAGCCTCTTCCTCTCCATTGCATTCGCAGTAGCCCAGCCAGTAACACTGGGGCTTAATGTGTATGAATGGGGGGGGGGTGTTTGGCTTTACATGTGGACATTCCCCACACATTTTAGAATTTGCTGTCAAGGTTCTAAATTGTATGGGGAGCTCTGCAAGTAAAGCAGCCTCCCAGCTGCAGATGCTCAGCCCTCTGATGCATGGAGGGAGACAGGACAGGCTACAGGAGACCTAACAGAGCTGGTGGGGCCAACAAGTACAGCTCCAGTCTCCTCCCTCGCACAATTGGTATCATTATCTGACAATAACCATGTGTACCCCCACCCAGCTGCACTAGGAGGAATGTCTTGATGGTTAGAGCAAACTCAAGTCAATTTGCAAGAGGGGTGGTGGGCTGGACAATCATCTCTTGGGGATGCTCTAACTCTAAATTTCTTGCAACATGCAGAGGATTTATTTATTTATTACATTTATATTCCTCCATTTCTCCAAGGAACTCAAGGAGCCATACACCACTTTTTCTTTCTCTATATTATCCGCACATAACTCTTATTAGATACGTTAGGCTGAGATTTGGTGACTGGCCCAAGGTCACCCAGTGAGCTCTATGGCTGAGTGGCAATATGAACCCTAGTCTCTCAGGTCCTAGTCCAACACTCCAAGCAATACACCACAATGGTTGGACATTATGGGTAGATGACAACCACTCTGCATAATCTGTGGAACACTGCAAGACTTCTACAGAGCTGTCCTGTAGACAGCCACCATCTCCACATTTTCTTATGCATACTGAAATGAACCATTGCAGCTTCAATCAAATACCTTTATCTTCTTGCAGGTTGTATATTTCACAGCTACCTTTCCTTACCTCATCCTGATCATGCTCCTGATTCGAGGTGTGACCCTGGAAGGAGCCTGGTTAGGAATCAAGTTCTATCTCACGCCACAGTTTGACCTGCTACTGTCTCCCAAGGTGAGGTTTATGCCATGTGATTTCACTGTAGAGTGGAGCTTAATTACATAGACCTGCCCTTTCAGCTGCCACACACAAGTGCTCGCCATGTTCAGAGCAGATGTGTGCAGCAGGGGGCTCCTCAAGCTTGGCGGGATGCACAAGGAAGGAAAAGGCTTTCCTTTTAGAAGAATGTTTATGGGGGGGATAGGCCAATCAGGTTTTAATTGGACCCCACTTGTAAGTAGGACAGCCCTTGCAAAAATAAAATTGAAAAGCAAGTGACATTCCAATGTTATGTAAGAATAGCATTTTAGATCTGTCCATGCAAAATATACATCATGAGACCAGAGCAGCATAGTATATTAAATGTGTTGCTGCTACCATAAACAGCAGTTGTGTATTTTAGCACCTCCCCCTATAAAATCAAAGACAACTTACCCATTTCCAGCCCCCTTGTTTCCATCAGCATCACTCACTTCCCTCATATGAAACATTTATATGAAAATATAAAGTGGCTCATATATATATACTGAGCCTCATTTCTCATTTTAGCCCATTGTTCCCTATTTTGACTAGCAGCTGCTCTCCAGATCCTGCTCCTAAACCTGTAAGTGGAGATGCCAAAGACTGAATGCAGGCTCTTCTGTGTACACAGCATGTGCTGGACCACTGAGCCAGGGCCCCTTCCCATGCATTGACTTGTCTGAGATCTACCACGTGTATTGCACACACTCTATAGAAATGCACTTAGGTGGGTCCAATCGAAACACAGAGTTCTCCTGTGCATTAGAGGAAAAAGCAAAAGTATAACATGTGTTTACTGCCTTCATTTCTGCTATAACGTGCAAAGTAGAAATTAGCATGCATCCTTCATGAGGAGATGTACAGAAACACTTTAGGATCATTTAACTTCATTCATGAATAAGTGCAGACACTGGCAGATTATTATAATTTATTAAAATTGTATACATTGGCAGATGTGCTTTGGCAAAGTTCTTCCTTAATGTTTTGTTGTCATGAGAGGTTAGGTAAAGGTAAAGGACCCCTGGACAGTTAAGTCTAGTTGAATTCAACTATGGGGTGTGGCGCTCATCTCCACTTTCAGGCTGAGGGAGCCGGTGTTTGTCCGCAGACAGCTTTCCGGGTCATGTGGCCAGCATGACTAAACTGCTACTGGCGCAACGGGACACTGTGACGGAAGCCAGAGAGCACGGAAATGCTGTTTACCTTCCCACTGCAGCAGTACCTATGCTTTCGAAGCTGGTATGCTTTCAAGCTGGTTAGATCATCCTTAGAAAAAGCTTCACTGTGCAGATGAATGGACTGTTTTGTCACTCAAAGCAGACTTCTCCTTTACCTCTTGTTTTCAAACACTGTTTCAGGTGTGGATTGAAGCAGCTTTACAGATCTTCTACTCTCTTGGGGTAGGATTTGGGGGACTTCTCACCTTTGCATCATATAACACCTTCCACCAGAACATTTACAGGTACATGTTTTCAGTGTAACATGGCATGGAGATGGAACATATAGAGGTGGTTGCGCATCCATGTCATCATGGATGTTAGCAACACTCCATTATCCCTGAATGGAGGCTGTATAGAGTAGCAGGTGAATGATGGATGTGGCAAGAGGAAGGAGACAAAACGTAACTACCAGAAAACAAGTGGGAACGTACAATGGAAACGAACATAGACTAAATCAGTCAACCTTTTCCCTGGCTCCCCGCCATCCCTCTAATGCAGGGGTCTGCAACCCGCGGCTCCGGAGCCGCATGTGGCTCTTTTACACCTTTGCCGCGGCTCCGGGGCGGATACTAGCGAGGGGAGGAGGCGCATTGTGCGCCCCGACACTCCCCACTGTGGCGGGCGCTGTACTGGCTGTGACATCGCATGGGGCGGTGCGTGCGTTAGTCACGCACCGTCCCGACGTCACCTTCCCGCCCGCCACATTGTAAGGGCCATGTACGCTGCTCACTGCATTGAAAGGGGGCATGTACGCTGGTCACTGTTTTGAAGGGGAGTGAAGAACACACACACACACAAAAAGGTAACTTGTTAATTTAACGTTTATTTCTATGAGGAGGAGTAATTCTGAGGAGTCAAACAAAGAAATAATAATAAAAAGTGACAAAAAAGTTATTTTTATAATGACGAGTTTTGCGGCTCCCAGTTTTTCTTTTCTTCGGAAACGGGTCCAAGTGGCTCTTTTTGTCTTAAAGGTTGCAGACCCCTGCTCTAATGGATGCTTTGTGACAATGAAGGCAAAGGATGAGATTCACCCAACAAGCCCTGACCCATCAGAGAAAGCTCTGTGCAAAGATTTCCGCTTGCACAATGGGGCCTCCCACCCTTTCCTTCCCCTACACCCCCCAAAATTGGCTTGAGAGATGTTGGGAGATCCCCATGGGGCAGGGAGGAGAGAGGGGATTGTTCTGGTTCTGCTGAAATGCTTGTGCAGAAGGAAGGCTTATTGTGGCACAACCACACATAATTCCAGCTCATCATGGAATTCAAATAAAATCAGCATAAAGATCCCATGAGAACTCTGTTTCTGCTCTTTACCCTCAGCAAAACATATGCTCCTTCATATTTCTATAGGTGACATATCTCTCGATATTTCCATGTAAACCCAAAGCACAGCAGAGTAGCATTTTCTAAGATATGAACCCCCAACTTAGATCCCAATAGATGGCAAGTATGGCAGCCTAATTTGGTTGTGGTGTCATCCTTTCCTTCCTCTTGCCTTCCAACTCAGTACATCAGGGATGGAACCCTCTGGCTCAGGGTCCAAATGTGGCCCTTCAATCCTCTCTGTCTGGCCCCAGGGACTCTTCACAGACCACACACTGTCCTGAGCCGCACCTCTTCCCAGCTGTGCTCTGCAATCTCCTTAAGTCTTTTTGCCTGCCTGGAATGTGTCCTTGAACTCTAATCATGCTTCTTGCTTGGTGGTGGTGGTGGTGGTGGTGCGTGTGTGTGTGTATATACATGCGCATGCAGAAAGTAGCCTACTGTTCACAGGTGGCATTCACACTGCCCACTTTTGCCTCAAGTCCTGCCTACTGCTAGCATGTGACTGCCAGAATGTGACCCTTGAGCTGAAAATGGCTCCCCACCACTGCTGTGGGGTCTCAAATGGCCAGTTCATGATGCTAGAGACTGCTGATCCAGTTCTTGTATTTTTTATTCTGTAGGGATACGTTTATAGTTACTGTGGGCAATGCTATCACCAGCATCTTGGCTGGCTTTGCCATCTTCTCTGTTTTGGGCTACATGTCCCAAGAACTTGACGTCCCTGTTCAGGAAGTTGCCAAAGCAGGTAAGGCCTGAACATTCCTTCCCTCCATCTTCTGTGCAAGTGTGTGTATTATCCACCAGGTCTTCCAAGCATTACATGTCTGCATGCAACATAATGAAATTGGCTTGCAAATGATTTCTGAGGCTGCAGGACATTGTGAACAGAACATCCTCCTTTTACATTTTACATTTTTGGCTTCCTTATTTTGAGGGGAGCTAAGAATATTCTTTTTTATAAACACACACACACACCACACACACAGAGTGGAATTGCTGCATAATTTCCCTCTGGGTATATCGCTATTCTGGGAAATTTAGAGTATTGTGACCATTTTCTAATTATGCTCTAGGTAGTTTCCCCTTTATGGTCTATATTGCTCCTCTAGGAATCAGCTCTGTTGCTTTAACCCTTCCCTTTCTAAATAACATTGTTTTTATGTCCTTTTTTTCTTCCTTCCCACTCTAAATTACAGCACACAAGGTGAGGTAGGGTGTAACTGCAATTGTGATCATGGTGAGAGAAAGGGACTATTTAACTCCTTCCACAGTAAAATTATACATACCCGCCAATATCTGGGGCTGCTCACTTTGCTAGCAGGTGTTAGAAATCTGAAAGCGGAGTTAGTGTTCCACTTCCAGCTTAAATCAGAGCAGCGACCATTGGCTTCTGCTAAATCATCCATGTCTTGAAGCATCCTAAGTTGTGACTTAGGGTATCAACAACTTATTTCCTGAGCCTTGGCTTTCAAAAAATACGGTCCAGAAAGCAAGGGACTGGAAATCGTTTCCAGTTGGGAAACACTGTTCTATGCCAACTCCAGACTGTTTCTGTGACATCTTTCCTGACATCTCTTGCTGTAAGTTGCCCTTATGTCTACAGCCATGAAACTTGACTCTCTCTCAGTAATATCTTCTTGCCTGTAGCTGTATAATCCCACTTGTGATTCTTCTCCTCCTTTGCCTGTCTTCTAGGTCCAGGCTTGGCATTTGTGGTGTACCCACAAGCCATGACAATGCTTCCTCTTTCTCCTTTCTGGTCTTTCCTTTTTTTCTTCATGCTGTTGACTCTTGGCCTGGACAGTCAGGTAAGAGTGTACTCTGCTGTGAGGAAGGACTTGAACTATATGGCCTCAAGCGAATGGTGCTTATGGCTTACAGTACAAGAGAGCATCTGTTATTATCTGTGTGCAGTTTGCCTTTCTAGAGACCATTGTTACTGCGGTGACAGATGAGTTCCCATATTACCTGCGGCCAAAGAAGGCTTTTTTCTCAGCCGTCGTTTGTATTGTGATGTTCCTGATGGGGCTCATCCTCACAACAGAGGTAAGCAAAATGGACAGTCCAAGACTGCAGTCCCCAGACCTTTCCGATGATCATTTAAGTTGAGGATTTACAGGGGCAATTGATGTGTTCTCCCTCTTTCCTCTCTCTGTGCCCTCCCTAAATGTTCTAGGGGTTCCCCAAACCCTCTGGAGCAGATTTGGGGAGGGCATAGGGACACACAAGGAAACAAGAGGGGAATGTCCTGTTGTGCAATCAGAAATCCTTGTGCTGAAGGGACTCAGTAGAATTCCACCTGTAATTTGAGCTGTGATTCAGAAAGCAAATCATAGTGTTTTCTGTGCCCTGATAGAATGAGCCCATGAAATTCCTAGAGTGACTTCTTTGGTATGTGACACACCCCCACCCCATTCATACTTCCTAAATATTCAGGTTATTAAAATGCTGGTGCTGGCCTGTAGATCAGGATATATTGACACAAGTAAGCTCACTGAGTTGACAATCCCATGTCTTGATAGAGGCTTTGACCATTCACTGCTTCTTCTCCCTAGGGCGGGATGTATTGGCTGGTGCTGCTGGATGACTATAGCGCTGGGTTTGGACTCATGGTAGTGGTCATTACCACCTGCTTGGTGGTGACACGTGTCTATGGTAAGACCAGATACACTGATAGTGTAGACATTCAATTCTGAATTGCTGAGTATGTGTTGTGATTTTTAAAGTGACATTGATAAATACAAAGAGATATACGCTGGCTTTTGTGGGGTAAGTAAGACTGCCAATAAGCTATGCAACATCTCAAGATGCATGTGGCAGTGGGTAAAATAATAACTTAGAATTGTACCACCCCTGGCTTTCACACTGCACCAAAGGATGTGGTGGTGGTGGTTGTTACTACAACTAAAAGTCTCAAAACCACTAATATATAATAAATGCAAAAAATACAGTACATATAAATAAGTTTTAACATTTAACATATTGTTTGTTTTGTGGGTAAGTCACACATCTTTATGTACTATTAAAAATGCTTCTCTGGAAGTCAGTTGAACTGTGTTCGATGGAGTATACTCCCGGATAGCCTCAGACAGCCATCCTTTGCATTATTACTTGGGGCCAAGCCACATTAACCATAGTGGGGCTTACTTCTGAGTGAACTTGCATAGGGTTGTGGCGTTAATGATTTAGTGGAAAAGAGCTGATTTAATATCCCATTTCTTACACATCATTTTGTTCTCTGCAGGCATGAAGAGATTCTGTCGTGACATTCATATGATGCTGGGTTTCAAGCCAGGGATATACTTCAAAGCCTGTTGGTTGTTCCTGTCTCCAGTGACAATGATGGTAAATATGCTCCAATATCCACAGCTGGACAACACCCTCATCAAAACCATCTAAAATGTCACAAGAGAGTGGGAAGCTTCTCAAATGGAAACTACAGACTGATTAAAGGCTTGACCACATTTCTGCTTGCCCTGTGCCTAGAAAGAACACGTCCAAATGGTTTTCCGCTTGTCCTGCACGTTCTAGGCATGGGTCTGAGCACTTTTGTATTTGCCCCGCTGCTATGTGGAACAAATAGTGCTAGTGCTATGTGGAACAAATCTGCAGAAAATTCAATTGCCATTTGTTCTGATTCAGTGCTGCAGATTTTGGCGGAGTTATGGATAAACCTTTAGTCTCTGCCAGGTGGTAGTTTTGAATCATTTCCCCCAGCTCATCTCATTCTCCCCTGGTCTGTTAGCAGGGTCTTGTCCTACACCTCCTGAGATTAAAAGTTCATCTGTAGGACAGCACTCCCTACAGCTGACTCAAAATGGAAGGGGAAATGCCTCGTGCAATTCTATGATGACACTCTTTGTTTCAGGCTCTGCTGGTGTACAGCATCATCAAGTATGAACCATCAGAGTATAATGGGTCCTATCGTTTTCCATTCTGGGCTGAGATTCTGGGCATCCTGATGGGAATCATCTCCTGCCTGATGATCCCCATGGGGATGGTTTTTGCTGTGCTCCACGAGGAAGGAACACTCTGGCAGGTAAGCAGCTTCTGGGGTCATTTTCTTTGTTTTCTCATACCCTCCAACATTTCTCTGATGAAAACAGGGATGTCCTAAGGAAAAGCGGGACATCAAATCAGAAACCAGGACAGTTTCTGTAAATCCAGGACTGTCCCTGGAAAATAGGGATAATAATAATAATATAATAATAAATTATTATTTATACCCCACCCATCTGGCAGGTTTCCCCCAGCCACTCTGGGCGGCTTTCAACAGAATATTAAAATATAATAGTCTATTAAACATTAAAAGCTTCCCTAAACAGGGCTGCGTTCAGATGTCTTCTAAAAGTCTGGTAGTTGTTGCTCTCTGTTCTCTTTGACATCTGATGGGAGGGCATTCCACAGGGTGGGCGCCACTACCAAGAAGGCCCTCTGCCTGGTTCCCTGTAACTTGACTTTTTGTAGTGAGGGAACCGCCAGAAGGCCCTCGGCGCTGGACCTCAGTGTCCAGGTAGAAAAACGGGGGTGGAGACGCTCCTTCAGGGGCACTTGGAGAGTCTGTTTTCTCATGGGATCTTTGTTTTTGCACCTTTTAGGTCTACTTTATATGACCATTGTGGCTACAAGCAGAAGATTGGAAGCTTTCTCTTTTGTTTTAACTAGCCTCAGTTTAATGCTTTGTCTAAACAGATTTGGTCATACCATTAGGTACAATGAATGAGACTGCCATCATTCCCTTCTGCTAGAGGACAACTGGTTGTCAATTTCATTTTATTTAGCCATTTAAAAAGAATGTGTGGAGAAAGCAAAGGAACTTTCCTTGCCATCCAATGTTAAAAAAACTGACTTTCCAGAGATACTCTAAATACCAACACCCCCACCCACTTTCTATCTTCATTTGAATTACTTCGTTTAAATAGCTTTTAATAATGTCAAGTTTCTATATTGCTGGGACAGAGGTTGCCATCTAGTGGTGTTTATGTGCATTGCATAAACTTGAAATATTTTCAAACATAGAATCAATATGAAGATCTGTAGAAAAATCGCAGAGCCTTGCACTTCTGCTTTGCAGAAAAGAACATGATATTGTTGCTAATCTCAGACTATGTTGCATATTTGCTGTGCATTGCTGAACAGTCAGGGCACCCTGTGAAATTAACAGAACTGTCTGCTTCCACAGGTGCTGATAACTTCTTTGGAGTTAAAAAGTTAACACTAACAGTGAACAAAAACCAGTGCTCTGTGTTCATCAACCTTACTGGCTGTGCAGACACTAACCACTGTTTGGGTTTACTTCACTGGCAATGCCTTGAGAGCTTTGGAGATGTTCTTCCATGCTCTTTCACAGAAATGCTTCGGGCAGTATCAAAGGAATTTTGGACTCCCAAAGATGGACGTTCTTTTGGATGTCCATCACGGTACCTCCTGTAATTGTTTGCCCTTCTACTTGCAGAGAATCCAGCAAGCTAGCAGGCCAACCCTGGACTGGGGTCCTTCCCTGGAGGAGAACAGAACTGGCATGTATGTGGCTACTCTGGCAGGCAGCCAGTCACCTAAACCTTTGATGGTCCATATGAGGAAATATGGAGGGATAACCAGCTACGAGAATATAGCCTTTCAGGTAGATAAAGAGATTGAAGAGGATGAAGAAGAGTCCATGATGTGAATGAAGTGGCAGCCTCCCAGCTCACCACCCATGTGGGGGGAGGTGGAGGGAACGCAAGGAAGCAGACAACTGAACTTTTGCACAAAGTTGCACTTTGGCACTTCCAGATGCATTTAGCATCTCATAGCAGTGAACTCAGCATAACTCTGCTGAGAATCCCAGTGTTGTTGAGGTTTCTGTTTGATGTGGGAAGGTGTGCAATGACTCTGTGTCTTGCTGCTCTAATGTCTAGGACAGGTCACTTGGATCCACTCATGTTTTCCCTTCCTCACCGAAGCAGTGATAAATTCCTCAGGGTCAGGGCCTAGCATCCCATAAACTATCTTCTTCCTATCTAATCTATCTCCCCACCCCCTTGATGGTCACCTAGCTATTTGTTTGCAGTTTTTAGCCTACATAGTTTCACTCAGAATAGCCCTCCCAAAGCTGCCACTACGTTCTGTGGCCTAACAACTAAGTCAAGGATGGGGGACCCCTCAAGCCTGGGGATCAAATGTGGCCCTCCAGGCCTCTCTATCTGGCCCTTGAGGCACTCATTGGGCCACACCCCTCTTTAGCCCTGCTTTGCACTTTGAAAATGCTTCTTGCTTGCCACTTGCCAGGGTAGAGGACAGGGAGAGATGTGTGAGCATGTGTAGAAATCATCCTACATGTAAACACAATTTGTATAATCATTGGAATGTAGGGTTGTATCCAATGCAGAGTAAACCCATTGAAGTTAATGGGCATTGCTAGCTTAGATCCATTCATTTAAACTTAGCTGGATAAAACCCATCCACTGCCTGAAGTACAGAGTGGAGGGGCAGACATGCAAACCTTCTACTATGTCAGACAGTTTGTCCATCTCATTCACTGTTGTCTACAATGTGTGGCAGGAACTCTCCAGGCTCTTTCAGATGGGATTTTCCCAGGCCCACCTGGGGCCTTTTGCATAGAAAGCATGTTCTTTACCACTGAGTTACAGACACCTCCTCTCCTTTTGAGGAGGAGCTATCACATACACTGGACTTCGTTTTGTATGGCCATATGTGCCCTAATGCCACACACTACCTAAAACACGTAGTGGAGGGGCACACACGCAAACATGATAGGTGGGTGAGTGGCTGAAATGGCCCAAAGTACCGTTTGCTCTTCAGATTTCAAAATGTATTGGGTTGGCAATTTTGCTTGTGAGGCTTAAATTGCAGTTTTATGCTTGAATCAGTGTCTAATGGGAATGTAAAAAACAAACAAACAAGCCTACAAGAATGACTAGAATGTGCATTCTATTTAGCTTCTGAATTCTATCCCCTCACACCACTCAAATGTTGCATAAGTAGCAGGAGGGAGGATTTATGTGCACTTTGGGTCCTATGCATGAAAACAGCCTCCTATAGCAGGGGTTGGCAACCTAAGGCCCATGGGCCGGATGCGGCCCAATCTCGTTCTCTATCTGGCCCACGGACGGTCCGGGAATCAGCGTGTTTTTACATGAGTAGAATGTGTCCTTTTATTTAAAATGCATTTCTGGGTTATTTGTGGGGCCTGCCTGGTGTTTCTACATGAGTAGAATGTGTGCTTTTATTTAAAATGAATCTCTGGGTTATTTGTGGGGCATAGGAATTTGTTCATCCCCCCCCCAAAAAAAAATAGTCCGGCCCACCACCGGCCCACGGTGGACCGACCCACTGCTGAAAAAGGTTGCTGATCCCTGTTCTGTAGCAACCACCAAAGAGAGAGAGGAAAAACAGGATCTGAGGGGGAGGAGTTACAGCTGAGAAGGAAGCCAAGCTGAGGGAGGAGTTAGCAACCAGCAGCAGTCAAACGTAGCTCAGTGCAGATCCTGGGAGCTCGCAAACAGACCTCGCAAGCAGGGGTGTTTGCCAGGGCGTTTAGTAGGGGAGGCCCGGAGTTCTGTCTCTTGGTGTGCACAGAACCAGAGACATGGAGAGTGAGGCAGCTGCTGCAGTGACCTGTAACACCTGTGCCATGTTTGCCATTCTGCTAGAGAATAAGCAACAGTACACTTGTAGCAAGTGCAAGCTGGCTGTCTTGCTGGAAGAGAAGGTGCTTGAGGCCCACCTAGCCACACCTCAAGCAACAGGACAGCTTCAGCTGAGATTCCTGCATTGCAGGGTTTCGGACTAGATGACCCTTGGAGTCCCTTCCGACTCTAAGATTCTATGATTCTAAGAGGCAAACTTGGTTCTGTTAGCACTGCCACTTCTTTATATAAAGGTTCACAGTATTTCAAGGCACCCTCTTTCCTGAAGTGTGTGTTACAGTAAAACCAGGAAAGATCAAATCTGACATTCTAAGTCTTATTTTTCAAAACTGTATGAAATGCTGCTATTTTACGAAACAATGCAGATCACAATATCTATTCTTTCATCCTCTAAAGAGAAACAACAGGTAGGAGCAATTTTCTACCTCCAGCTTTGGGGAGAGCTTTAGTGAAGGAAGATCAAGAAAGGACTCTGGTGTGAGGCTATTACCGGTACCTATCTGGCCCGCTGTCAGCAAAAGTACAGACTGGAGGCTTGTTGTATTGTGTGGGACCTGTGAATAGACTGGGTTTTCTATAGTACCTCTAATACATTATGAGGGAAAAGGTACCTGGGAGTTTTTCCCTTACATGGCTTGATTTTCTAACAGTTGGCCTTTTTCTGTTCCTTCTTAATATGCATTGGGAAATGGGCTATTTGTAGAAGCGCAATGCAGTTCCCATTTCCTGGCACAGATACACGCTGTTCTTCTGTGTGACTGTCTGCATTCTTTTCTCTAGTGGCCTCTGTAGTTATAGGTCGGGGAGGCAGTCCATTAGTGAGCAATATTTTAAGATTTTGCTAAAAATAATTGGCAGAAAAAGAGGGAAAGAAATCTCTCTCGCCTCTAGCCTGGCATATAAATGTGCTGTCTGTAGTCTGGCTCCATATGATTTTCTGGGACTGATTGTCCACACAGGCTTTTCTTCCTGAGTTGGCCAGCAAATGTGTGCATCTATGTATGGGTGTTCCAAATCCCAATGAAAACCCCTGGAGAATCCAGGCTTCAGAAAACTTTTATATACAATCTACAAAGCCTCTTTTGGGTGTTGAGAAGTCCCTGTTTCCTTACAAAGCAAATGGATGAATGGACAAATAACTCTGATCAGGCATTTCTAAAATTCTAAAATTCAATAGGTTCCTGACCTGATCTCTGTGTTAAGTGCACATGTGAGTCTGTGTGTCAGAATCTTCTTCTTTTTATGTAATTATGGACAGCACAGGCCACTCCCCCTTTAAAGAGCAGTTCTAATGCTCAGCTACAGTGGCCAGCATTTACAATGTATTCCAGCTACTGATACGTGTTCTTGAGTGAGCGTGGGTGTGTACTATTTGACATTAAAATAAGGAAGAACCAGTCTGCTCAAGTGTCATGTGTCTGTGGAACACTAGTCTTAAGGAGTGATGGTAATATGCATATGAATTCTTGCCATGTATCTTTTAAAGTCTGTGTTTTTATTTGTTTATTGAATTTATATACTGCCCTATACCTGCAGGTCTCAGGGCAGTTCACAGAAGAAAACCACAAAATACATAATCAAAATAAAAACAACAACAACGCAATAACCCTGCCCCCACCCCATAAGAGTCCTGAAGGATCAGGCCAAAGGCCTATCTTGCCCAAAATCCTGTCTCCCACAATAGCCAAGTAGATACCTATGAGAAGCACACAAGCTTTAAAGCACATTCAAAGCACATTCTTTCCCTCAAGGAATTCTGGCTCTCTAGCTTGTTAAGAGTAGCTGGAGATTGTAACTCTGTAGGGAGTAAACTACAGAGCCCAGAATTCTTTGAGGGGAAGAATATGCTTTAAGCGTATTGTGTGTATACAGCCTTCAAGGAGCTTTAAGCCTCTGTAGATGTGCGTTTAAATTCGTAGACAGGTAACTGTGTTAATCTGTGTTTATTTTATTTATAAAAATACATATAAAGCAAAAATTCATTAAAATTCATTAAAATCAAAGCAGTGTGCAACACCCACACACACACCATGTAAAAACCAAAATCATAGATCACAGCTTTGACAAAGAATTGCTGCAAAAACAACAAAGAGGTATTTTAAAGGCTGCTAGCATATTTCTTATGCCATAAGCTCTCATGAACTAGCCTAGAGTCTACTTCATTAGGTCCATGTCAAATGTAATCCTCAGTTGCATGTATATATAAAGAGGGGTGAGTGGGGATTCTGAGCAGTGGGGTCAAGTGGAAATTAAATGCAAAAATTGCAGCCAAAGACAATTCAATAGAGCATTGCTACACTGACAGTGTACACACCTGTAAACTGAACAAGGCACCCACTCATTCTAGCCTTCCCTGCATGCATGGGAAGTCTTCCTTACCCAGTTCCCCTTTCCATGACCATGAATATCTGTGTGGCGTGACTATTTTGTTCACTGCCTTTTGCAGTCTCTGGTGAAATAGATGAGCTAAAGGAAAGCCCTGATGGTGTAAGGACTCTAGCGCAACCAGATGTCCCGGTTTCATGAAGCACTTACCCTTGAGCAGGCGCTCACACACAGGGCTTTCTTTGCAGACAGCCACAAACAACTCGTGTTTTAAAGGAAGAAGATGCAAGATAAGGGAGTGGGGCTAAAAGTGCAGCACCACTCTGTGAGGGCACTACACATCAGCTAATATGACAACAGACCACTGAAAGTCACTGAGAAAGCATCTGTCCACTACTCATATATTTATCAAGTGTCCACAATAGGAAGGAAGTGGCATGGGTTAACTAGGCCTTTAAAAACAACCACCACCTGAGACACGCCTCTAAGCATAGTTTTAGACACACTCTTTGAGAACCTCATAGTGTGGACTCACTGTCCAGCCAAGCTCATAGTACTGCACCCATTGTTGTTTTCTCCCAGTTCTCAGGTCTGATTCCTGCCCACCCACCCACAGGTTGCTCTCTTAGAATGGTAAAGTTGGAAGTGACCAGGAGGGTCATCTAGTCCAACCCCCTGCAATGCAGGAAACTTTATGCCCAATGTGGGACTCGAACCCACCACCCTGAGATTAAGAGTCTCATGCTCTACCAACAGAGCTATCCCATACGACAGGATTTCTAACTATCAGCTGGCTGGATGAATGCCACTTGGAAATCATGATGTCTGAGGTGACAAGAAGTGAAATAAAAACTATATCTATGGATATTTCTGTGATGGCTCACGGGTTGTCTCTGAATATTATAGTCATCAAGTGATGATGAAGATGCATATGTGAAACAGTTCTTAGAAGAGTGATGGACAACCTCTGCCCCTCATGCCCAGTGTTGTTGAAGTACGACTCCCATCATCCCTGAGGATGGGATTTATAGCCCAACAACAGGAAGTGCCGCATGGTTCTCCACTCCCTGCCTTAGAGTCACCTGAACACAGATAGCAGGGTTGCAATCAATTATTTCCAATTATCCCAAGTATGCCAGGAATAGTAATGGCTGAAATTGAAAGCACAGCTGCTGGTTTTTCCTCAATGATACTTGAGCTAATAGGTTAGAAATTCAGGAATTAACCACTGAGATATTTATGAGAAAGAGAGATTCTATTATTAGAGTCCAAACAATGTAGAATTCAGCATTTAAAATAGGATCCCTCAAGATTTGTGGCTACAGAGCGAAGTTGGAGAGTGCCTTAAAAATAAATAAGAGCCTGGGGGGGACGGACACACAAATTTTCTCATCAGGTCATTGAATTGTAGCCAATTTCTCTCCTCCTCATTTATCTGAAAGGGAAGCATCAGAGGCTAGGAAGCTTTGAAATGCTAGTTTTGAGGTGCACAGCAATTTGAATGTTGATGGTACCAGGCCCTCATACATACATGCATACATACATTGCAGAATATTCCTTCCCTCTTTCGTTCTCCTCCCACCTTGAGGCAAGCGTTCTGAGGGGGTTACCAGAGATTTATGTGTAAATTATCTGGGGATGGAGATTCACAGCCCAAATTCATTCAGATGGCTTCCCCCACCCCACCCCTCCCTGTTCACAGGGATGCAAAACGTGTGTCCTTCGATTCTCTCTTTGCCTCAGGAAGTTGAAATCATAGACAAATCACCACAGCGAAATCTAAGGAAAGGAATCTGCCTGCCATGTGAATTATTTAAATGGACTTCAGGGATGGGGATAAAGGGTAAGGTGACAGTTCAGAAGAGCAACATCCTGTTTACATACCTCCTTTGTAGAAAAGATGTTGGATTCTCTAACGTCTAATAAAATGGAGCTGCATGTTAAAATTAAGATCCTGGATTGAGTTAAGCCCAACACTTCTCGTTTTAAAGGAGAGACTGAATAAAGGACAGGAATTTTCCCTTTTATTTCTCTACTTACATGCTGATTTACAAACGTCAGGAGAATGTCCATTTTGCCACATGTACATAAACAACATTCTATATCCAGCTGCACCAAACCACATTTCATTTCTGGGTCATGTTTTTAATGCCAAACAT